GTAATCTATGCAGAAATAGAAGTATAATGATGTACACCTGAAATTTTTACAATGTTATAAACCAATGTTACTGCAATAAACAAAAAATTAAAAATAAAATAAAATAAAATAAGATAAAATTAAAACAAAATAAAGCTTTGGAATCCAGAATCCAACACTAGAGTGAAACTGAGCCCAGTGTACATGAAAATAATGCATGAAAATAACTTGGCCAGGAAGATCCATAAGGGCATGGTGGGGGTAATACGCTAAAAGTTCCCCCTGTTAGATAGGCCTCCTGTCTATCTCTCCAGCCCCATCCTGTGGAACTCTCCCTCCATCATTAGACTTCAGACTCGTTGACTTTCAAACGCATCCTAGAACAAGCTGTCTCATCTCAGGCCCCTTCCTTTGGGTTCCATCCACTTGGCACACTCTTGTCCAGCTCTTGTCCATCTCCTTATCAAGCTTCAACGTCTCGTCTTCTGAGAAGACTTTTCTGATCATCCTCGCTACATCAGCATCCCTCTGGCTCATCTCTTTCTTTGAACCTTTATTTTTCTTCAGCACACTTTCTCCTATCTATAATCATTTTACTTTACTCACTTACTTTCATCTGTCTTCTTATGCATGGTATTCCTGATGCTTAACACGATTCTTGGCACATAATAGGTGCTCATAATGTTTGTGGAATGAATAGACTCTTTGTGGTACATGAAATACTTTCATGTTATTCTCATTTACTCCTCAAAAATAGCTATGAAGAAAGGAAAATGCAATTCCCATTAAAGAATGAGGATGAACTCAATGAGCTAAGTGACTTGGCAGATAAATGGTAGAACTCACCCTCAGACCTATTTGGGCCCCTAAGTCCCCTGTCCCCGGTATTCCTACTCAACTCATGTGCCAGGTATGGTGGCTCCTAGCAGGGTTAAGTGATTTCCATGGAGAAGCGGAGAAAGGCAGTGATACAGGGCCATGTAAAAAAAAAAAAAAAAAACAACTATATTAGAGACTAGCAATTTATTTAGTCTTGAATGTCCCTGGATCAAGCTAATCTTCATGGCTGTCCTTGACAACCTTGGCTATAAGTACCTGGTAGAAAATTAGCAACCTTGGCTAAATCACAATCCAGACCTGATGGGGGAGGAACTGTCTTAGAGATTGACAGCTTGTAGTGCTTCAAAGGCACGAATTATAATAAATCCTGATAAATATTAAAAATAAAAAATATTAAAAGCCACGATACGCTGTGCGCCAGGAGCTTAATTCTTTCAATATTTCTATGAAATAGAAACCATCATTTCACAGAATAAGAAATAGAGGCACAGAAAGCTGAATTAACCCGTCAAAGGTCACCCAGCTAGTAAGGTGCAGAATTGGGATTTATATCTTGTGACTCCAAGTCTGTTCTCTTCCCATCCCTCCTATCTGCTTCTGCACAGTGATTGCTTGGTCTTTAGCACATGGCCTCAGAGAAGACGCTTAAAGCTTAATATGAACTGGTCCCGGCTGCCTCTCTGTGTAGATGACATATAGAGAGTCTATGTTCTAGCCTGGATTTTTCAGGACAGTCCCAAATCCAAATATGCTGATTCACTGAGCCCTTAAACATGTGCTTTGCAAGCCAGGTGTTTTCACATTTGGGTTAGGACATGCCTTCTGGGGTACCCAGGAGTGGTCCTCACCTCTGTTTCACTTAGTGCTGCACATCAATTCTCAAAGCGTTCAATAGCTCAGCTCAGAAATACGATAACCCGAGGATTTCCTCAATGGGACCATTCAATCCAGAATAAATATAAGAGTACATTCAGAATGCAAAACCATTGGCTTTTGGAGGCCAGACTCTCTCAGCTTCCTGCTCCATTCTCTTGAAATAAGTGGCCTCCACAGGGAAGCTGTAACCATTGTAATTAACATGAAGGCTCATGAATTAATATTAGGCTCTGGGAGGACATTGTGAAAGTCATTATCCAGGTGGCTTGGCTTCTGCTTCTATCCCTGGTGACAAATGAGGATGTGTTTTGTCTACAGCGAATACAGGGAACAACTATTTCACTGTAAAAATTATATTTTACTCATTACCACCACACATAATTTGTTGAGATCTATGAAGTAAATACCACGGAAATCTTGTTCTTGGAACTAAATCATTCAATTGCCATTTTGAGTAAAAAAATGACTCCCTTTCATTTTATTATTGTTGTTCTCCAAAAGTAGGTCCAGTATAAGATGCAAAAATAATTCCCAGAAGAAATGACCAGTAAACATGAAAAATACCTCCACCTCATTAACAATCAAAGAAATGTCAACCTCATGAACAATCAAAGAAATGCAAATTAAAAGAGGTTTTTGGGGGCCGGCCCCATGGCGTAGCGGTTAAGTGCGAGCGCTCCGCTGCTGGTGGCCCAGGTTCAGATCCTGGGCGCACACTGATGCACCACTTCTCCTGCCACGCTGTTGCAGCATCCCACATAAAGTGGAGGAAGATGGGCAGGGATGTTAGCTCAGGGCCAATCTTCCTCAGCAAAAAGAGGAGGATTGGCATCAGTTGTTAGCTCAGGGTTGATCTTCCTCACAAAAAAAAAAAAGAGGTTTTTGGTTTTTTGGTTAGGTTGGCAGGGCTTAAACCAATGATGTGATGTTAGGTTGTCAAGGTGTGTGGGAATAGGCCCTCTCATAAGTGAATATGGGACCATGGATTGATGCTGTCATTTGGGAGACAATTAGAAAGAGTGATTAACCTGCAGTTTTGCTTCTAGAAGTGTATCATAACATCCTAGCACTGGGGCCAGTATATGTGTACAGAGCAGTTCACTGGAGCATTGGATCAAAAAGAGCTGGATTGGAAACCACACAAAAGTTCACCAACAGAGGACAGATTAAATAAGTCATAACTCATCCACACAAGGGAATATTATGCAGCTGTTAAAAGGACTGAGGTACATCTTACATTGATAGCTATCCAAGATTTAATAAATAAAATAAATTAATTTGTCTGCCAAATACTTTGTATAGCCGATTCTTCTTTTGTTAAAAAAGTCAATTTTTAATTGTGTGTTTAAAAAACTGGGAATATTATCTTCCAACAGTTAATGGTGGATAATTCTGTGGAGAGGATTGGGAGAGAGAAAACGGCTTTCACTTTTTTTTGTTTTTGCTGAGGAATATTCTCCCTGAGCTAACATCCAGGCCAATCTTCCTCTATTTTTTAGCATGTGGGCTGCCAGCACAGCATAGCTGCTAAGAGAGTGTTGTAGGTCTGCGCCCGGGGAACCAAACCCAGGCCGCCGAAGCGGTGCACACTGAACATAACCGCTAGGCCTCCAGGGCTGGCCCAGCTTTCACTTTTAATTTAATAAGCTTTAGTATTATTTCCAGGTACTTAAAATGTTTCAGAAGTGTGTGAGTGGATGAGGAAAGAACTGTTTGGCAAGTCTAGACTTATTGTTTCACCTACTGTAGAATGTTTCTCAGACCTAACGGTAAAAATTAGCAAAAATTTCTTTGGGAGGATGATATTTAAGATATGTACCCAATCAGTGAAAAAACAAAAAAGCATGTGTGTGCCTGTGTGTGTGTGTGTGTGTGTGTGTGCGCGTGTGTGTAGGTAGGTGGGTGGGTGGGGAGAGGGGAGCTATATAAGACCTGAGCTGCAATTATTTCAGAAACACCCGCCCAGCACACAGATTCACATATTCCTACCCCTCCCCACATCCCTACTGGGTGGTCACCACGTTGCCACTCCCTCCCAGTGGTGAAGAAATGCTGGCCACAGAAATATGCCACATCACCCAGTATCTTCTCTGTCCCTCCTTCCCCTGCCCTCATCCTCAGCAATATACTTTATCTATGTGTAAGAAATATTTTAATCTTTCATTAAAAGATGTAACAGGGAGTATAACATTTTATAAGGAAACAAGATCCCACTTAAGAAACCTTGCATCAGACCTATATTGTATCAATAAATGCCCGTGGAAAAGAGTACTTCGTAAGCCTCAAAACATAACACAATGCAGCACAACAAGACAAGCCCCCTTTTTACCCACCAGCCATCCATGTTGTGTCAAATCCAGCCTTTAACCTTGTTGGTACTTGTGCGTTTTGCTACTGATGAAGTGAAATTGATAAGGAAATAGTGTCATAATATTTACTTTGAAATATCCTCCTATGCAAATGACTCAAAGGATGAGATAGAGCATCACCTTGTGACTTTCTTGATGCTTTTTCCCTTTGCTTTGGTTTCAGCATATTGCAAATAAATTGCCATCATCTTTGTTCTTTGCAATTTTTTTTTACCTCTTACTTCAAGCCACCTCAAATTTGAGATTACTTGGAGATTCAGTTTTGTGTTAAAATGTCTTCAAACGCTATATAACTTTGTGTGTTGAAATTTTTGTGTGTGTTGAGATATTTTTAAGATAAAAAGAGGTTCTATTTCTCTATGATATGAAAAAGCTTAAATATATAGTATAAACTGTCTTCATATTGCCAGGGATATGAAATTATACCTACATGATAACCAATGACAAAATGGAAGTCACGATTACCGATAGCTCTATCCTCTACTACTCATTTAATAAGATTATAGTTGTCTTACAAATACCTTTGAATAGAGTTACCCAATATCTATGACTGAAACAGTGTACTTATTAATCAATATGTTCTACTTGGCCCCTCATTCATAATACCAAATGTCCACGTAGCCGGGTGACTTCCTCTGAAGAACATTCTACATATCTAACCCCACCTGACAAAGGATATACAATATAGACTTTGTTTTTGCAAGAGCTTTTTTTTTTCTGTGAAAAAGAAAAAACTCTATCACATGGTTCCTTTAAATATCAAACTGTGCCAGAGTTTAAAAGTCACTCGGTCCCTTGACATACCATATGCACATGATGGCATGGTACTGTCACCAGGGACAGTCTTCTTGGAGGAGTTTGGAAAGAACATTGTCCAGCCCCTCCCCACACTGAGCAAGGCTAGAATTTTCTGGACTGAGAAGACCCGTTACCTTTTACTCGGCGTTTGCTGTGCTTCCTGGCTTTGAACTTGGACGTGTGGCTGCTGGTCTGGTCCAGGAGCAAGGTGATAACCAGGATGTAAATTACAATTCCACTCTTTGCCATGGCTCTCGGGCAAGGCTGACGGCCACTTTGCCAGCTCCTCTGAAGTAGCTAAGGGACAAGTAGACGGCACAGCCACATCTTGTCCTGGAATGCCTGGGGCCAGCTTTATAAAAGTGAGCTGTGAAGGTTGGCTGGAATCCTGCTGACGAAATGTTTGAATGCCTCTTCTGGCTGCTGCATAAGGTGGCCCTTTGTTCTCATGCCTCATGTTAGACTTTTTTTTTTTTTTAATATTCCTGCTACATTTCCTAGTTGACTTGCCTTTTCAGAGTGTATCAGAGTTAACTAAGGGACGAAGGGTTTTGCCTGCTTTCCTTTTTTTTTAAAATTTAAAGTCCAGGAAGCTTGGGGTCTCTGTGAAGACCCCAATATTTAAGTGTATGATTTAGAGCTCTAAAGTTCACTTAATATTCTGGGAAATACATCCAATTCAGTTTTCAGGGCAAAAATGACAGAAAAAAAACCCCAGAAAAGTTACAGCATGTGTGTGTGTGCGTGTGTGTACGCGCGTGTGTGTATGTGTGCGCGCATGTGTGTGTATGTGTGCGTGTGTGTGTCTCTGTGTGTCTGTGTGCGTGTGTGAGATGCCGCAGCACCACCTGTGTGTCTACACAGCTCCAGGGGAGCTTGGGAATGGTTTGCTCACAGGGAGTAATGAAGCTAGCCAAAGTGGATGGTCCTTGAGAAAGGAAAAACCTCCCTTTATTAGGGTTTTGTGGACTCATCAAGAATCACGCTCTTAGAGTGAAAAGAAAATTAAGAAGGTGAATTATTTCCATAAGAATTCATGTAAAATATCAACTATAGTCATCTTGCCGAGCCCCAACCACCCAACACTTTTTCCCTTGAAACTACCCCGAACACGTAAATAACTCTTTCAAGTGAAATATAGAGATAACAGAAATATAATGAAAGACTTGGTGTAATTATTCTTACTTAACAGTGGGCTTTAAGGACAAGTCTGGGGACCAGAGATGCTTTTGCATCAAAAGCAAGGGACTTCCGTACAGGTGTGACCAAGATGGAGTGAGTTAGACCTCAGACTCTACGGACTGACTGCATCCGCATCGTTACCTGGGTGACCAGGTGCAGAAGGAGGGCAGGGCTTGCAGATTTTGGAAGGTCTGAAGGACCAAACTCATTTTATCTATTTTTCTTTTTTTTTGAGACAATACAGGAAGAATCAAGGGGTGATTGATTCCCTCTGAATCCTAGTGAGGAAAACCACAGTCTAATCCATCTTCATTTCCTTCCTGCTAAAGCCGCTTTGTAACCTCCCAGTGTATTGACACCAGGGTAAGACCACAGATGTGGAAAAGTCTGATATAATTTAGCAATGTATGTGTGAAATAAAAAATAAAGACTTTAGGGGCCTGCCTGGTGGCATAGTGGTTAAGTTCGCACCCTCGGCTTCGGCAGCCCGGGGCTTGCAGTTTCAACTCCTGGGTGTGGACAGACGTGCTACTCATCAAGCCATGCTGTGGCAGCGTCCAACATACAAAATAGAGGAAGATGGGCACAGATACTGGCTCAGAGCCAATCTTCCTCAGCAAAAAGAGGAGGACTGGCAACAGATGTTAGCTCAGAGCCAATCTTCCTCAGCAAAAAAATAAATAAATAAAAATAAATAAATAAATAAGTGGCAAGCCACTGAACCACTGTGAGTCTTTTCTCATCTTAATAATGGGGCTTAGGAATGTTTATTACAGGGCTGTTGGAAAGATTAAATGAGATAATAACTATAAGAACTTAGTACAATGTCTAGTGCTTAATAATAATAATGATAAAGATCATATCTGTAGTATTCTTACCATTTATTATAATAGTATGTATAATTTATGGAATGCCGGATCTTTTTTGTCTTCACAGCAAGCCTATGGGATAAGTATTCTCTCCATTGCATAGATGATTGAAACTGAGCCTCGGAAAAGTTAAGTCTATGTGTTCAACACCACTCAGATGCCAAGGGTGTGAATAGAATTTGAAATCTAGTTTTGATTGACCCCGGAAGATCTCTTTGGACCTGGGCTGTGAAAAATGTGCTTTGATTTGTATAGAGAAAAGGATCAATGTTTTACAATTGGTCTTACAATTGATCAAAAATTCTTTTTGCCAGCTTCTCAAATCCGAGAAGAGAGTTCAAGTTACACAATAGTGGTGGAAAGCTAACGATTTCTCTTGGATCTTTGATCTGTGCTATGTTCAAACTAGACATAAGAACAAGGTATCTTTTTTCTTCAAGATAAATCTATATTGTTTTAAGCTCCTTTTCCTTTCCAGGAAAGGCTTTGACACTTTTTTGATTTGTTTTCTTTTAGGCAGATCCTAAAGCCCATGCTTTCTTCTTTTTAAATTAATAGACTTTATTTTTTAGAGCAATTTTAGATTTACAGAAAAATTGAGCAGAAAGTATAGAGGGGTCCCATACACCTCCTCCTCCTGTCCACCCCCAAAGTTTCTCTTATTATGAACATCTTGCATTTGTGTGGTATATTTGTTATAATTGATGAACGAATATTGATATATTGTTATTAACTGAAATCTAGAGTTTACATTAGAGTTCACTTCTTCTCCATCCAAGGATCCTGCTTTCCTCACAGCGCTTATCACAATTTGGTACTCATTTAAACGTTTATTTACATAATTGATTTAGTAAAATCCTGGCTGGATGTCAGTCACTTTGGCTAGGCTGTAAGCTCCTGGAGGGCAGGGGCTGTGTCGGGTTAGCTTGACTCTGCACACAGTACAGTTCTTGGCATATAGTATTTGCTCAGTAAATATTTACTAAAATGTGGCAGGACAGTTTTGCTTTTGCTTCCCCCCTTCCTACCTCCAATCTGACGCTCCAGTGAAGACTTGCTTGACCAAGGAAACAGCAACTCAACCCATAGAAGAGTAAAGAGACCGAGATGCATTTGGTGTAATAACATTTGGAGCTGTGCCAAGAAACCATCACTCTCAGCATCGGGGAAGCTCTGATTGTCTTCTAGGTGCTTGGCCCCAAGGCCAGACAGGGCTGGGAACTTTCCTTTCCTCCTGCAGAGACGCCAAGTCCAGTTCATCCTCCTTCAGGGAAAAACCAGTGGAAACTGGCTGCATGATTGACTAGGAGAAGAGGAGGAGGGATGGGGTTCAAGGGGTAGAGTTGGATCTGAGAACATTCTCAAGGTAAGGATTTTTGTCCCTGTCCCAAATGCTGATTGACATCAGATATGACCTACCCCTTTGGACGAGCCCCCACCTCCAAAACCTCAATAGGAAAAGCAGGAACAGAAATGGCAATGATCAGAAGAGAATCACATCAAGAGCTACACACACATCAAAGATAACGGGGGATGGTGGCCCTTTCCCCACCTCGTCCTTGGGGAAGGCTGGCCTCACTCAGTTTTCTTGGAGGCTGAACAATTCCTCTTTTGTGGAGCCGGATGATGTCACCAGCTGGTCTCCTGGGCTGGACCTGGACTTCTGAAAGGGCTATTTAAGAAGAAGTACACATTTATAGCCAGGGAATAAGAACTATAAAAATACTGCCTTTAGTCCAAAAGTGTTTGGTGAGAATTTTAAAACTATCACTAGTGTTTTATTTTCTTTAATAAATTGCTGTCTACAACACAGCCCCTGACCACCCTGTGTAACTGGTGTGTTTATTCTACCAGTTGCTATATTAAGTTGCTCTAAGCTGTTTTCCAGAGTCTTGAATTCTAACAAACAAGTCCATCTGGCCTCCTTTTGCTGTTTGTCTCTTAACACTCAAGGCTGAACACGTTTGAAGGCTGTGTTCAGAGGTTCAAGGCAGCATTTAGGAGAAGCGATAGGGCTGAACTTGGATATAGCACAAGCAAGGTTGAGATACTTAGAAGAAAGATTGGTTATGGTGTATGTGCAAGTTGCCTTGTTTCTACTTAGGGTTGTTTCTTGGAGCTGTGGCTGGCGAAAGTGTCAGGGAATTTGAAGAAAAGGCTGGTGACAGGTTTCAGGGAAGAGGATGAAGAGACTCGGCTAAAATGGGGCAGCATTGATGTGAGGGAAAGAGCAAGGACTCTGATAGTTTGGGGTTCAAATTTCAGATATGTTCCTTTTTGGCTGTGTAACAATGGTCAGACTTTGTCATCTCTCTGAACCTTGGTTTCCTCATCTGTCTTGCAGAATGGTTGAGAAAACTAGGATGTGTGTATAAATCGTGCTAGTCACATCTTGTCGCAGCAGGTGATCCATCAAAGGGAGCTTGGGCTTCCCTCACTACCATCATATAGATGCATGAGGCATCACACCCACATAAGGGCCGCAGACCTACCCCTGCCCTGACCCCAACTCTACAGATTTGTTCTATTTGCACCCACACTGAACATACTTCTATCACAGAACTTCTACACGTTTCACAATTATTTTATATTTTATATTTGTCTCTCACCTTTTTTTCCTTGGACGTGGATCTTGTCCTATTCTCTTCTGATTTCCTAGACCAGTGCTGCCTGATAGAAGTGCTCAATAGCCACATGTGGCTAGAGGCTGCCATATTGGATGGCACCGTTTTAGTGCCTAACAAAATGAGTGAAGTCACTTAGAATCCTCAACTTTTAAGCATTGGTCAAACTTGGGTAACCCACATTAGAGCTCAGCTGAGGGGTGAGGCTCACCTGATGGTGAATGGGATTTGGGGCTTCAGGGGCTTACCTAGGATTAGAGTGAAAGTTTCTGGTAAAGTCAGGGTGGTGGGGTTAGAATAATGGAATCTCAAGTTTTGGAGAGACAAATCTCTGCTTCGAACACTTCTCATGTTGGAGAATTTACTACTCAGCAAGGCAGCCAGTTCTATTGCTAGAAAGTTCTACCTTACCCCGAAGACACTCTTACTTCTCCCCCATGCCTTCTTCCATCTTATTGTGACCAGCTTTCTTTTTTGGCAACCTGTAAGGGAAGATAACAGCCCCCAGTTTAATTCATGAAGCCCTCCTGACATTGTCGTGTCTGACTTGCTCTGTTTACACTATTTCCATCATCGCTCTGATTTCTTTGGGTTCTCCTTGACCTTAGTTACAACAGCCTCTGCCTGAGTCCCGCTGCTTCTGCTTTAGGCCTGTGGTAATTACTT